AGCTGGCTTGTTCTCTTCCCATGCTGCCCCTATGGCTCTCCTTGTCTCCTCTTCACCTCCTGAATCAGCTTCCCCCTGCACCCCAGTCTTCCCCCTGCGCCCCGATCTTCCACCTGTGCCCCCCGCCCCACACGCACACACTTGAGTCAGACATACAGGAAGGGGAGGAGGGGCCAGGCTTGCTTTCACTTTTGAAATTCACTCTGAAGTTACCTAAAGAATCTGCGGAGCTCTACCAGTATTTTGTGGGGCACCCTTTGGGCCTGAGGGACGATGGCAGGTGAGTAGATGGGATCTAGGCCATCCCCAGCAGCTTTGTTCCTCCCAAGTTACAGGCTGAGGTGGGAGAGGGAGGAAGGGCTGCCTCTGTCTCCTGCTTTGCCTTGGAGCCTTTGAAATGTGCTCCTTTTGCCCCGCACCTCCCTGTCCTGTGCTGGGAGATGGGGGCAGAGGGGCTCTCTCCCTCCCACCCTGCCTGGCACACACACAGGATCAGGGTGGGGAATGAGAAGGGGAGGTTTATCATCTTGTGCTTTCCCCTCCCAGGCCTGCTCTTATCAGACTTTGTTTTTTGCTTGTGGATGCTTGCAGATGTGAAAAAAAAAACCAGAATGAAAAACTGGCACTTTACTTTTAACTTGGCGCATTCCTGTGCCGAGCCCTGTGCATGCCCAGAACAGGCAGCACGTTACTTTAACCCAGCTCTGCAGCATCTTCTCAGCCTCTTGTGGGCTAAGAAAAAAAAAGTCTTGGGGGCTAGGATGAAGTGTAGTCACTGCACTGGTCTGTTTCCCAGGCGGAGATGGATATGAATGACATTATGTAGCGGAGCGTGCATCCCTGTCTACTGCACTGTGAACAGGACACCCCATGTCTTGTAATCAGCTTCCCAGTGGCCAGCTTCCAGTGGGAGGATCTTGGCTACATGCTTACTCTACGGAAATGAGGGACTCCTCCCTAGCTCCTGTGGCTGTTGGCTAAGGGCAAGTGAGACTCAGCAGCATCTGAACCCTTGGGCGCACACACGATGCCCGCCAAGGTATTTGGGAGTATCTGAAGCACCAGACTGAAAAGTCTGGGGTTAAAGATACGTGCCATTTGTAGTGCCACATATGGTGTTTGATCGATTGACTTTTGCTCATTCGAGAGGATTTGAAACTGATTTGGCTAACTTGACCTGGAATATGAAAAAGTTTCCCAAAAAAAAAAAAAATCTGTAACGGTCAGGTGCTTCATCAGGGCTTTTTTGGCATTATTATCTAATAACTGCTTGAATTAGCTTCAGCTAAAAGCACCAAAAGCCCTGCTTAAGCACCTAATATTTACAGATGCTGCAGAGCCAGGTCAAGGTAACACCTGCTTCTTCTGTTAAAGCTTGGGGTTTTTTGGTTTCTTGTAACCGTCTGCCAGCCTGGCTCCGTGGGTGCTCAACACTCACTAATATTTTTGGATGGATACTTGAGACCTGGGGCAGCCGCAGAGTTGGCGCCTATAAGCACCTTCCATCACCTGCAGCCTGGCCTAGTACTGCTGCACAGTAAAGCAGCCCATCCCTAGCAGCCCCTTCCCTGCATACACCTGCCTCCTGCCCCCACAGACACACATGTTCCCTATGCCAGTGGCAGCTCCAAGGGCAGGACCAGGGCAGCAGTGTGTGGCAGGAATCTCCGCCCTAAGGGCAGCTTCTCCTCTCAGTGTATGAAGCCCTGCGGAGCCAGGGCTGGGGCTCTTGCCAGCAGGGGGAAGCTTCTGCGAGGGCCCTTGCCCTTGAGCTGGGTGTCACGTGGCCCAAGCTGCCAGCCTCGGGTTTGAGGTTGTGGCAGCAGGAGTGCACCGGCCGGAGGAGGGTGCTGGGGGAAATGCTGACATTTGGCTGGGACAGTGGTGGGGGAGCACAATGCTGAGGTGGCATGGGGTAGGTATGGAGCTGGGAGAGCAGGGCTGATGCTGGAAAGCTGTGGTGTTTCCGTCCTAGCAAAGCACTGAGAGTGCAGGGGTGGCCCCAGCTAACCCCGTCAGGGGGCCTAGGACAGCTTCACGCAGCTCAGAATACAGCAGCATGGAGGAGCTGCCTTGGCCCAGTACAGGGTGTCTGCCAGGCATGGCACAGCCATGGTGCAGGTGCACACATGCCAGGTGGGCTGGGGCATGGAATGAGACGACATCAGGTGGTCACCGTGACTGCTCCCACAGATAAGAAGTTAAAGGAAGTGCGGACGATGTTTGTGGAGAGAGTTAGTGATGGCGTGATTGCCCCCGTCCTGGACGACCTGCAGGATAAACGGGTACTGAACCAGGATGAAGCAGAGAACGTGCGGGCAGAGAGGAGGAGGGCCGAACAAGCCAGGTACCTGATCGATGTGGTGATGAGGAAGGGTCTTAAAGCCAGCACCATATTCATCCAGTGCCTCCATGACAGAGACCCCTTACTGGCTACAGAACTAGGGCTGGATGCCTCCTCTGGTAAGTGGCACCACCGGGACTGGGCTGCTAGGCAGTCTCTGAGGGGCTGCATGCACTGGACACCTGTGTAGGGCCCACCTGTGGCAGCAAAAGGGCATAGACCTCTCTACCCTGCCCTTGAGCCTTCGGTGAAATGGGCAGCAGCGACCTGCTCTGAGTCCCAGAGGTGCTGGTTCAGCGCCATGTGGTGTCTCCCGTATGCACCCGGCAACAAGGTCCCCATGCTGTCTGTCTCCCTTTGGGGTAAGGCCCACTAAGCCGGAAGTTGATGTGGGGCAGGGAGGCCTTCCTCCCTTCAACACAAGGAAATGTGTGGCGCAACATGGGCAGGGCTGTGCTGGGTTAGCGCATCAAGCCCTAGAGCCCCATCACACCAACGTGGACCAGGTTTGGTTATCAAGGATT